ATACAATTAGCCCAATTATATTTTCATATGAGTACAAATTCTACAGCATGTTCAGACTAAATGTAAAAAGTTTTATCATTTATTTCTATTGACTATAGTTCTAGTTCTTTCTCTGTTGTATGACTTGGACTTGTCATGTAAATACTTGTCTTTTAGCTTTTACTTTGTAGGTGAATTCTGGATTTTATAGCGTTTATCATTTGTTTACTGTAGAAGTAATAAAGTTGCTTACCTGTGAAAAAAAAGTGTTTTCAGGAGCAGTTGTCGCTGGTGTAGTTGGTCTTACGATGCCTCGGTATTGTCTGTTTGGAGACACTGTGAACACTGCCAGCAGAATGGAAAGCAATGGAAAAGGTTGATTCCAGTATTCTGACACTCTAGTTTTTGAAATCTTTTTCGTACTGCATGGTAAACCACATCAAGTCCGAATCTTGTCGAAGAAAGGAACTGTTTACGTCGAACATATTATATTACTCTTTAAGCTGGAAAAATCCATCTGTCAAGTGAGGCGAATCGGATGCTAGAACAAGTCGGAGGCTATCAAACGGAGAAACGAGGGGAAGTCATCATAAAGGTACAGTTAATAATCTTATCACCCTTGAATACTAGATATAAATATTAGAAGAATCGAAAAGTGACAACCTCAACTATTTTTCTCAACACGTTGATGATGACTGTTATTAAATTTTCATCCCATTAAATAGTTCAAGTGGTAGTCATTCAATTAGGCAGGAGTAGCCAAGTGGTTGAGAGTGTAGGCTCATGACAACACTCTAGAAGGCTACAAGATTCCTACTTGCTAAGGGAGAAACTGTGCCTCTCATAAAAACAAAAATGGTGTCAGCAGTAGCATCAAGATCAGGTTGACAGGCCGGCGAGAGGAGAAGCCTGCTTACAACAAAAGTGACTGCTGCCTCAAAAGAAATCGGTGATAAAGCTGGGACGTCATCCGTAACTGGCTTGTAGAACATCGCTCGAATTCTAAGCACAGTATGGAAGAGCTACCGAACAGTGAACTATCCCGGCCAGATTAGGAACTCGGATTGGGCTCTGAAATGGGAGGACTGAGAAGTCCTGAGGAGTTGCTTTTCTAATGAAGCGCCGTAACACCTATGTTCAGAGAAATCGGGGAGCGTGTTAGGCTTTAATACAGCGGAGAAGACACCAAACAATCTGGTGTTGTCATAGCAGTAGTGGAGTCCCTCAGAGACCCAGTCCCCGCTTCAACAGAATTAAGGACCAAATCGTGGCTATCGTGCTTTCCAATAGACTGGTGACAAGTGCTGAGCAGAAGTGGGACTGCACAATGATGAAAAAGAAGACCTCAATAGGAGGATACTGCTCTCTCATACACCGATGCAGCAAACCTGGATTAACGCTATGAAAGTTATCCTTCTAGAGTGTGGAAAGGAAAAGCTGGGGAAGACTCAAAGTTCTGAGATGGTTCTGGAACGAAGAAGTTAGGCGAGGTAAAAGGAAGGCGACGACAAGCTCTAGCGAAAGATGGGAGTTGCACCAAAACTGGCGGCTCAGAAGTTCAAGGAGGTCGCCAGGGGTGCGGTCGCAAAGAATATTTGAATGGACGCCTTGTTCGAGAAGGTCGATGGCTGAGAGGGATAGAAGGATAGAACTCTCGGCTCGTCAAAGCTCGGCACATGACTGTTCAAGACATCGGGGTAGTGAGAGCTTTAAAAGAATGCGGTTGCGAATGTGAGAGTGGGGGAAGGGGTGCAATCCTAAGAAAGCATAGTGAGATCAGCTCCAGGTGAAAAGAATACTTTGATAAACCCCTAAACGAAGATTTCCCTGTGACAGCAGTCCCCAATCAAAGGCGACGATCGGCCCTATCGTACGTATACTTCACAAGAGTACGAGTTGCATAGAGCAACAGGAAAGATGAATGTTGGGACGGCAGTTTGTCCAGATGAGGTATCAATCGAGGCTCGGAGTACACGGTATGAAATGGCTATTCGATTTCAACCCAGTGATCGCTATAGAAAGGGGGCGAGACGCGTAAAGGAGCAGTACTATCCTCTCCATCTTCAAGAGAAGTGTGATCCATTTACCGTGGTATCAGGTTGACTGCGCACACGATGAAACTGTACAAGGTTCGTCGATTCAAAGTTGAGGAAATTGGTTCATATCTCACAGAAGCAGATCGGGTTTATGCTAGAAATTTCCACAACGGATGCCATTTCGAAACAAGACGAGTGATGGGAAAGTATTAAGAGAAGCGCAGATTCTCCACCTAGTCCTCCTCCATCTCAACTTTTCGGACCCGACGCTGGCAACGACAATTCCTATGGAGAACATTTCGAGAATGAAACGTTCCGAAACACCTAATCTAACTGGCCAAAGAATCTATACCATGTGCGGGATGGCCATAGCCACCCTTAACGATTTAACCATCCGAATGAGTACAACAAGGATAGGAATCTACATCGAAGCAATCCCCGTCTACCGCCACATATGCAACATAGTCGTATAACATCAAAAAATAATACTTCACACTTCAAATTGGAGAGCTGCTTTGTAATTCAAAAAACATCCAGTGAAAGTTATCACGAATTTAGATTGACGTGCCTACTTGTGACCCACAAGTCATTCATGTAAAAAGCGAATACATCGAGTTAAGTATTGGCCCGAAGTCAAATCGTTGCCAATAATGACCGCTCAAGTGTCTTTAACACCATTTAAAGCTCCCTTGCAAAAGAGACTAAACTGACTTCAAATACCTGTTTTTTGGCCATCTATATCATTTTCAGGGAAAAGGAGTCATGGAGACCTACTGGCTGCTCGGACGAAGTGATGATGCATTGTCAGACTGCGCCAAACCGCTGAACGACGAAGCGCATTCCACCACAAATCTTCAGCTCCCTGAGAACAGCGTGACACAAAATGATCTTCCAGAACATCGTAGTGTAACCCCTAAGGGCCTATACAATGAGTACAAAAATTCGGGTGCGCAATGGTAGAGCTTCTGTGAGCGTGGTATAACACACTGTGGCTATAATTACTATTGAAGTTGTACACAAGAATAACCACCTAGGAGATCGGATAGATCGGAGCTTGTTATTATCTTCACTGTGTTTCTTGTCTTAGCCCGGCTGGTTTCATATCTAACTGGTAAGATGTGAAAATAAAAACTACTCAACGAAATTCCCATTCTTCTATCATATGAAGGCACAGTTAACAATACTTTCGAGATACCCACTTTT